AAGAATTGGACTGCTCGCCACAAGGTAGGGAGTTCGAACTGGCCGGCCGCTCCTCTGGAGAAGGATGAGGCTATATGGTCCCTGGTGATTGGATGAGACGCAGTGACTGGGATTCCCTCGAGGTGGCGCCCAAGAGCAGCGAGCCAGGCCCGCAGTTGCCTCTGCTCAGACCTGGATGGGGAGGAGTTTCTCTTCACAGGCTGACAATTCCAGGGAGCAGAAGGACACTGTTGATAAATCCAGCCTGCCACCCCCCCCCCTTCTGGTTATACCCACCCGCCCTGCAATTTATTTGATGCAGTTTCCAATTGTGTATATTGAAAGCAACAAGGGTTTGGCTGCTTGAAATAGCCATCTAGACACAGATGCCAGCCAGCCAGCCGCCAGCGCCTAGACAAGCTGGGGGCAAGGGGGAGGCGCTGGGCCTGGAAGGGTCCTGCCAGGAAAGCGGGGAGAAAGGACTCCAGGCTGCCTGGCCTTGTTCAAGTAACCACAACCAGACGCTCCCTTGGGTCAAGTCCGACTTCTCGCAAGCCCTTGAGAGAGGGTGGAAGTGCCCCTGGGAGTTCCCGAGCTGTATCTCTGTACCAGAGTAGAAAGCTGCTTCTGTCCTCTCGGGGCCGCTGCTGAGTTTGAACTGCTGACCTTGGATTGAGCAGCCCGATGCATAACCCCTGCACCAACAGGACTCTCTTTTCAGGGAAGGGGCCTCTGAAAAGCCCTCTGCCTCCGGGACACAGAGTGTGCTGTGTTGAAAACAGTGCAGAAAGCAGGCAGATCCAGGCTGGCACTCAGCTGTCTGCTGTTTGGATGACATTTCAGCTTCCCGAACCTCAGTTTACTGCTCCGTAAAACAATACATAGGACCCTCTCTCCAGGTCACCTTGGGGAGCAAACGAGGTGATGAAGCTCTCCTCAACATGCACCCACTCTCTGCCAGCCCATCGATTCAGATTCCTAGTGACCCTGGAGGGCAGAGTAGAACGGACTGCCTCGTCTTCCCCCCATTTCACCCACCAACGCTTCCCCTACTGCGCCACCAGGGCTGCAGCCTAAGGTCCACACTGAGGAATCAAACTCACACACTGTGGTCATCTGTGCAATGGCCTAAACCATTGCTCCTGAAATTCTATTAGCGGCTTTGATTTTCTAAAAAACCCATCACGTTATCCCACGAAGCCCGGCTGGTGAGGCAGTTCCATGCTTAGCTGCTAACAGAACGCTCCGTGGCTTACACCCTCCAGCTGCTCCACGGGAGACAGATGAAGCGGTCTGCTGCTGGCGAAATGCCAGCCTGGGAAACCCACGGGGCAGTTCTACTCTGTCCTCGAGGGCCGCTGTCAGCTGGACTAGATTCTACGACAATGAGTTTTCGGATGCCCCAGGGTGCCTTGGTGGTAGAACAGTTAAAACTTTGGCTGCTAACTGAAAAGTTGACCTTCAAACCCACCCAGTGTTTGCTCAGGAGAACCTGGTCATCTATAATCACACAAAAACCATAGAAGCCAGTTCTACTTTGTCACATGGGGTGGCTCTGAGTTGAAAAATGGGCTTGATCACACCAAACAATAGCAACATTTCCCTGTTTTCTCCACGGAAAGAAGCACAGAGAGATTAAGGGACTCATTCAAAGCCACACAGCTTCAAAGTGATGTCGCATTGGGTCTACGTTTGACTCTAGGATCGGTGCTCTTAGTTAACATACCACCTCAGTGCAGGTAGGGAGCCCCCTTGGTTGAGCAGTGAGGCTTGTGGGCTGCTAGTCACAAAGTCAGTGGTTCAAAGTCACGGTATGTCCATGAGGAAAGATGAGGCTGTCTGCTCCCATAAAGATTTACAGTCTCTGAAAAGGCTAGGGGACCTACTCCTTGGGGTAACATTAAACCGATTGCGTAGAATTAATAGCGACCAATAGTACCCCTGTAGGACAGTAGAAACTCTCATGGCTGAAATCTTTAGATCTTGAGATCTTTAGAGTTGTAACTCTTTACAGGAGTTGAAAGTCTCACCGTTTTCCCTCAGAGCACCAAGGAGGAGGAAGAAGTAAAATCTGGAAAGGAAGTTTCCGAGTGGCGGGAGATCAGGTCAGAGTGGGGGCAGTGGGCAGAGGCTGGCTGGGGGCTGCTGGAAGCCTCAGTGAAGAGACGACGACTTGATGCGGAGACTAAGGGAAAGGCATTAGGAAGGAGCACTAAGAGGAGCGGCAAGACTAGCTGTGACTTTTCATCAGGTCCCTCTGTGGCCAATGGATTGTAGGGGAGTGTGAGAGGACTCCAGGAGACCAGCTCTGGGGCTGGTGTGACGGGGCCGGTGAAAGGCAGGATGGAATGAGAGAGGCTTGCTTTGGTTGCAAGAAGCCCCTTGGTCTGTAGATTTCTCCTCTCTACCCCACACTCTTGCCCCCCTGCCCACATCTGGATCTGGGGGAGACGGAGCGTGAGTCTCACTCTCCTACCCACAGGCCTTGCGATCATCCAACCCGGTTTCAGTTGGCATCTCATCTCTTGACCCAGCATCCTCTGCACCGGTCCTGAAAGTGCAGCAGCAGTTGGTGTCTGCAGTTGGGTCTGTGTCGTGCCTCAACGTCTATAAAGCCAAAAGCCAAGTGGGTGCCTCACCCTCAGCCTGTGTGTCGTCGTTGTGTGTTAGTTGTTGTTAAGTCGATTCCAACTCCCGGCGGGCCACCCTGGTGTGCAGATCGAACCCTGGTGTGCAGATCGAACCCTGGTGTGCAGATCGAACCCTGGTGTGCAGATCGAACTGTTCTGTAGGGCTTTCAAGGCTGTGACTGGCGGGTGCGTGTTCATTAGTACACATTAGTTTACCTTCTCATTTTCTGTCCTGCATGTAAACGTAGGGCATAAAAGATAAGGCATGCTTATCAAAAGTGCAAACACTCTCTACAGCACGTAGAAAGTCAGACGACCTTCTCATTCTGGTCCCCAAACGTCATCTCTGTGTACGTTCTAGGGCACGGTCAGGTAGTCTTTTCCCTGTGTTTCTTCAGAAGCACATGTTAACGAAGTTGAGATCACGCTTTGTGTTAATGAACTTGCTTTTGTCACTTGACAAGCTGGCCTTTTCCCAGTGCACTCATGTTCTTCCACATCATTTTGAGGAACTGCCTGCTGTTCATCAGAGATGTGCTGTGGAGGTCAGGGTTCTTTCATGGTGTGCGACGTTTAGCCACAGCTCTGCTTTCTGCTTCTATTTTCAAGGCTGTCCGTCTTTGACTTCCACCTTTGTAGGTTGTTTGTAAGGGGTCCTGGCGGCACCATCTGTAAACCACTCGGTTGCTAAGCAAGAGGTGGCGAGTCACACCCACCAGCCACTCCAAGGGAGAAAGATGGGTCAGTCTGCCTCTGGCAAGACTGGCAGCCTTGGAAACCCAGTGGGGCAGCGCTGCTCCGTCCTAGAGAGTCACAGAGAGTTGGAATCGCCTGACAGCAGCAGGCTTATGGTGACCCATGTAGGAGAGTAGAATTGCCTCACAGGATTTTCTGGGCTGTCATTCTTTATGGGTCCAAATCTCTAGGTCTTTTTCCCTCGGGGTCACTGGTGGGTTTGAACTGCTAACCTTCAGGTTAGCAGCCCAAAGCTTAGCCATTACACCCTTAGCCCTCCTTGGCACCCTCCTAGGCCGCTGTAAGTGCTTCGTGGAGGGAGGCAGGACCAAGTGGACAAACAGACTCCAGCTGCTCTTGTCCACCTTGTTCTCTCAGCAGTTCCGTGCTTGTCCCAAGTCTGGACGGTGAGCAGGCGCAGCTGCATACAGAGACCTGTCAGTGCCTGGGTTCGTCCTCCAGGTGTTTCTGTCTGTCTGTCTGCTCGCTGGGCAGCTGCTTGGGGACAGGAAGACAGAGAGGCTGTCTGAGGCACCAGCTCAGTCTTTTTTTCTGTAGGTTTAATCTGTCGTCTTGTTGAGCGTATGCACAACATCAGTTCCACAGCTGCTCCCTGGGCACCTTTTAATGACACCGCTCCTGTCCTTCCTCATCAGTGTTGCTCCCCCCCCCC